ATCAACTGGAAATTACTTGATGGCCTTAGAAAAACGTTTCATAGGTGACATTGCTACCCAATGCATAACATTTGGGATACAAGTAATATAATTCGTGTCTGCCTCGGGGACACTTTCCTATTCATGGGACCGTTACGGTCCAAGACTCGGCCCAGGCGCCCCGTCCGAGCACCTCCACAGCTCCCCCGTTGCCATACGCTCACCCCGAGTCCATATGGCAGCGGAAGGATTGAGTGGGAGTAGCATCGCGGCGCGGAGAGAGGGTACCTTCGTATGCCGACGTCGACGTCGAGAGAAGAGGTTTCCGCCCGTCTTCCGCCGACCCACTGGCTGGCACTAGAATGGGTTTCCCGGGGAGGCACCTAATGCCCCCCAGGTGGTTCCTACTAGGAGCGACCAGGTAAAGGAACCTGTCGCGTCACTCAGGTTTCGGATGTGCACCGCACTGCGGTGACACCGGTCCTGTAGTGTGCCGGTCGACGCCCGTCGATGTGGCACCTGTCTGACAAGTAGACGGCTTATGTTGCCAGGTTTTATTAGTGAGGGTAGGACTCCGCCCCCCGCCACCGCCGGACGACTCCCCTTTAGTCTCTGGTGCGGGGTTGTGTACTCGTAATAACCCGGTGACTGACGGTAGACTACATGGCTCGGCCTTCTACTAAGACAGGTTTATTATGTCGTGAAAGAGCCAGTGCGCCGTCGCCGGCACACAGTCTCCGAAAAAGGGGAAGCGGGTAGGTCGACGGCACGCCTTAACCCGGCGGTCACGAGTAGTTAGTTCCCCCCCGTGCGGCCCTGTGTAGGTACAGGCTCGCGGGACGTGCGGAGCTCTATGGACAGTATGGACGGTGACCTCGGAGCAAGCGGCCACGCTTTGCTTCCGGACCGAACGGCCCTCGGCATTTTTTTGGGACTCTAGTGGCCGAAACCCGGCCATTACAACCCCCCTTTTGGGAGCAGCAGAAAGGAGGCAGGGTTGCTTTGCCCGGATCCAAATGTTCATGTCTTTTATACATCAACATGTGTCCCCTCTGTGTAAAGACATTCTGAATGTTTCAGGAAAAAAGATTTTCTCATATTTTGTCCTGATCCATTTATATAAAAACCTGTCTGAAAATGAACTGATCAGATTTCGGCCACTTTTTGTTTGTGTAACCATTAGCCAATCACCAACCAAGGTAACCCCCCCCCCCCACCCCACCTTATCACCTTGAACTCCTCCTAAGAGCCCATTGTGCTGTTATTTTAACTAAATATCTCACAGAGGGGCGTGGGGAGTGGCTCCTTATTTTCATCTAAAGTAAAATACAGAGAATCAGCACTTTTGAAACAGGGCTGAAACAGAGGGGTTTATGGGATGCTTCAATGCATGATCTGTTTGGTATTTCGAGCCAAACACTTCAGAGACATGTTTTGTATATATCTGAGATCTATTATATANCCTCCTGTTTGCAGTAATCCTGCTGAAGCCAGTCTTGAGATCAGTTGCATGAATGGACAGTGGAGGGGTTACCTGGTCTTCATATCTGTCGTGACGCTTTTAACCGCAGGATTAGCGTCCTTTACTTCCTACAACATCAGGTTATATAAAAATACATCATTAAGAATGAAGACATCATACATTTGGGGCCTACAAATGTAATGGGCTAACTGAACTTGGATTCCCACATATGTCTTGAATTTGTCACTTGCGACGTTTTTGTTAAACAGCGCACAGATAGAAATGGCCTGCAGTAAGCTTCAACCATTGCCAGCCTCCGTTCCCCCATCCTTCACTCCCCCCAGGGAAAGTGTATCTGAATTAACATTAAATTTCTTAATGGTGTTAGACAGCAAGTAATTATCCATAAGTCCACAGCCCGATCAACATTTCCAGAATTGGCTTTAATTGTAATGTCCCAGCCTTGGAAATCAAACAAATAAAGGGACACAATAAGAGGTCCCAAGATTGGGTTACACAGGTCTGGCAGAATAGGAAAGGAGGGTACATTTCGCAAGTTATGACACAATACAACACCCGCCCGACCCCTCCTCCTTGGTCCCACGCACACGCTTGTCACCATCTTAATAATGCATCCTTCATATACTCCTCTAAAATCACTGCTTTGATCTAAACATCTTTCATTTTCCTAATGAAACAAAATATAATCCAATCCACTCTTTTGATCCTGCTGTGGATTACGTTACTAATTTCTTTTTTCCTCCATCCATGTTTCCTCTGCCAGTTTCAATCTGCAGCTAAACCAGAGGGGCTTCCAGGGAATTAGCTGCAGCAATGTTTTTTCGGAGAATTTTGGGTTTTGCCACAAATGACGAACAGTTGAATACCATCGGGCCTAACCACTGTATTTATCCTCCTATCCTGTTTTTTTTTTCAATTTCTTGACCTTTTTGTAAGTCGTAAACAAATGGAAGTTCACTTCCAGACATGCAGGTTTGACTTAATTTTCCCCTGTAAAATTTTTCAGACATTTTAACACATGAATTGAGAAAGATATAATAGGCAGCACGCTTTTTGATATTGTTTTTACTATTGTCGTTAAAACGATGTGTATATTTTATTGTATATTGGTTTTATCTAATCGTTTAGCTTTGGGTTCCATACATATGACCTTTATGTCTTTTGTTAGAATGTTATTATTTTCGGGGAAAAGTCCCCTTCCATTTAATTATTGTTTTTTTGTTGATACATTTGTTTTTATCAAGATGATACTGACAACTGGAAAAAGGGGGTGCTTTTCTAAAGTTATTTGAAGAACATGAAATTGTGATAGTGATGAAATATTGAGGAAATCCCTCTATAAAAGTAGGGCGTGCCATGTCAGGTAGGCACTTTCCTCTGGAGAATGTGCATTCCACACCCTGACATGTACAGAACACCAAAAATACTGACATGGCTGGCATAATGCCCTTGCCAGTTAAACAAGATCC